TCTCTCTGTCTCTGTCTCTGTCCTTAAAACACACACACAGAGTAAGGATTCTGAGCACCTATCTGGGGATATTATGTCTATCACATGTGAATTAGCTGGGGTTAATCCTCTTGTGTGAAAGGTGTCCAAGTTGCACTTGCCTCTGTTTAGAGCTGGGGTCCTTGAGAGGGAGGGAATGGGAGAGTTTCTAGCAAAAGGAAGAATACAAAATCTTTTACTTTTATGTCATCTTTTGGAAGTTGGAACAACAAGGAAACAAATAATGTTGTCCACCTCCAGATTTCAGTCTGATTGACTATAAAGACAGCTAGGACTAAAATCCTCTCCCATAGCTGCTTTTGTATTCAGTTTGTTGAGATGTTCAACCCTGAGAAATACATGTTAAAAACAGCTCATACTAAGGTAACAAAAACACAATAATTCTTATTTTCAGGGGATTATAAACTAATGAAAACATACCTATGAATATTATATTCCAGGAGGCAGTGTGCATATGTTACACACTGGACCTTTAATACAACATACAGTATTCTAATGTTACTTTTGAAACTTTTTAGCTGTAATCTCTGCTGTCTATAACCACCTTGTTAAAAAACAAAATACTATCCCACTTTGACCTTGGTTCTCCACTGCAGACTGTTTTGCAGCCACAGGGCTGTTTATGTGAGCTCATTGTCAGATTTTGTCAGCTCAGTAAATGAAACTATTCCATATTCAGTACCTGACACCTGCTTGTCAAGCGGTCTGGCTGGTCAGAGAACCAGGTCTGGAGTTCTGACACTGTTTGACACCGCTCAACGTGCTCAGACTGCTGCATACCACTGTCAGGAGTCAGACTGAAACTTTACCTATTTCAGTCCACACAGTTTTTTCTGTCAGCCCGGAGCAAGTTGGGTGAAGGTATCGAAGGTTTATGAATCAGTGATGTTGACATTTCAGTTAATGAGAAGTGCAAGTATTCGTGGTTAAATGCCGCCTTTTCTGAACTGATGATAATACAGAGCTTGAGTAGTGTGTCAAACTGTGTCTGTTTCATGTGGAGCTCTGCTGGGGCTGTGTAACATCTGCAGACAGGTGTGGGAATATTAGAGCTCAGTCTGTCCGGAGCTCTCTGAGGAACACACCTTTTGATATCAAACAAAGTCTTTAATTTTTTAGCATAAAAGCAAAGTCTTTATTAGGGGTGTACCATGTCCTACCCTCCTCCCTCTGTCTTTTTCTGTGTGCCACACATTTAGCAAATCTCCTAGACCAGGATTACTGCTTCCTAGGGATTTAGGATTTCTGCCCGCCCAACACATGTTGCACAGTTACCGCCGGTGTGTTGTGCTTCCACGTCTTCCCTGCTTCCCATTGATGCAGCCGCTTCAGTCTCGCTTTCATAAGCCGCTTTCAGCTCTACTGATGAATGCTAGCCGAGGAAAGAAATAAGGAAATGATGGCAGAGCATGAAGACAAATTGTAGCTTAGAAAACACACTGCTGCATCTTTTTGGTCTTTGAGATGGAAGAATAGAATGGAGCGATGGCAGTGCAATAAGCAGGTTTGCCAGGGCAATAACATCACAAGATTATTGACCAACTGTTGATGCCATTCAGAGACTGAGAAGATTTTTTTCCTGTTGGCTCTTTTTCTCCAAATTCTGCTCTGAACCCAGGAAGGAAACTGATACTACTGACGGTACTGAGTTTTTAAAGAGGTGAAATAACAGGATATAGAACATTACCCAAAAGGAACATTTACTCAAAAACGACTTGAGGCAAATGTCTCTTTTGCGTACCTAATTTACTCAAAGCTTCATTTATTCTCAAACGATATTCTCATGGGATCATCCCCTCGACTTTTAGCCTGCAACTTGTAATCTCAGTAATTCCTAATGAACACATCCAAGAAGAGCGTCTTTTTCCCCATCGGCCCAGTGTCTTCAGCCTTGATGCGCTCCACTACCACGGCCGCCACCGGAGACATGCCTGGACCTCCGGCTAAAGGGGCTTTCTCCCCAGAGTGGGACAAGGAGAAACAGAAGCAGGTGGCTGAGTGTAAGAGCAATCTGCTGCAGGCCTCTATGTCCGGTGTGCTGGAGGAGTTCTTCTGGATAGGCAGCAGTATCGTGGCCTTCTCTAAGTGGAGGCTTGGTTACATGGGTAAGCTTGTTCAGATTTCAATGGTTATTAGCAGTACACTATGACTCACATTGCCATTGGGCAGTAATGGTTGTCTTCTAGTGCAGTCAGCAATGGAGACGTGGTTTACCTGACAGTGTGTCTGAGCTGATATTGAGCTAATATTGTTTGCAAGGACATTTATTCTCTTCTAGTGCTTGATGACTCCTTGATGATTGTTCACTGACACGAAACCAGTTAAGAAACCAGTTATTCCGCGCTGATCTTTAATCAGTAAACAGATTTTTATTGGTCAAATGGTCATTTCTGACCAAAGGTTTGGGAGAATCAGCACAAAGTCTAATGTCACACTGAAATTCAGCCTTAGAAAAACATTTGAAACTGAGTCTTTTGTTCCTTTGATCGTGTCATTTGGAACAGCAAGTGTAGAAACTGTGTGTGATGCTTCTAACTGATCTCAGAACTGACCGGGAGCTCCTGTTCTTTTTCTCTCCAGCATCCTCTCTATTTACTTTTTTCTTCAACTACAAGTGAACATGTTGTAAACAATTTCAACACCTCAATTCATACTGCCCAGAGCAAATTCACATCTTCTACTTCTAAAATTTGCTTTGTGTTTTGAACACTTCTTTACTATTGCCTGAATCATATAAAGTATATAAGAAGTATTTTTCTTAGCAAGTAGACTCTCTTAATCCAGTTAAGTTCGTGTTCCTTCAGAATGGGCATCTTGATGCGTTGATTGTCAACAGATGGTTGACTACTCCTGGCAAGAGTTGAATCAACCAATCAGCTTGTTTGATGCTCAGGTTTCCACAACGAGTTGTTGACATTTGGAAGGTTTCTAGGTCTGCTCCTCTGCAGCCTACAGTTGCCCTTGATACCCTTATCTATAGAGCTGCAACATGGTAAAAAAAAAAGAAGCTTTTTTTCTTTTCACTGAAAAAAGTATTAAGTAGTAAGTATATGCCCATTGAGCAGTCAGAGGTTCATTATCTTGCTTAAGGCTGTGTGTGTTTAACCTCTACACTATCACCATGTCAGTCTTCATTAGGTTTGCAGATCAACGTCAGCAAAATTACCATCTGCACCTGTGTGCAAGCATGTGTGCGTGGCTACAACATATGGCCTCCTGACAAT